GACCGGTAAATCGAGAGCTTCGCTTTTTGACTCAGCTCTCTCTTCACCACGACGGACCGGTACAGCGCCCGCTTCACGACAGACGCTGCCCCAATCCGCCTGTCGATCTCCCTCTCCCTTCTTACCCCATTCGTGAACAAGATCCCCAGATACTTAAACTCCTCCACTTGAGGCAGGACGATCCCCCTGACCCGGAGAAGGCACTCTACCCTTTTCCGGCTCAAGAAAAAGGCCAAATCCATGGCCTCGGATTTGGAGGCACTGAGCCTCATCCCAGCCGCTTCACACTCGGCCGCGAACCGCTCCAGTGAGAGCCGCAGATCACGTTCCGATGAAGCCAAAAGGACCACATCATCCGCAAAAAGCAGAGATGCGATCCTAAGGCCACCAAAACGGATCCCCTCAACATCTCGGCTGTGCCTAGAAATTCTGTCCATGAAAGTAATGAACAGAATCGGTGACAAAGGGCAGCCTTGGCGGAGTCCAACTCTCACCAGAAACGAGCCCGACTTACTGCCGGCAATGCGGACCAGACTCTGACACCGGTCGTACAGGGACCTGACAGCCCGTATCAAAGGGCCCGGTACCCCGTACTCCCGGAGAACCACCCACAAGGCCCCCCTGGGGACACGGTCGAACGCCTTCTCCAAGTCCACAAAACACATGTAGACTGGTTGGGCGAACTCCCATGCACCCTCCAGGACCCTGCTGAGGGTGCTGGTCCAGTGTTCCACGACCAGGACGAAAACCACACTGCTCTTCCTGAATCCGAGGTTCGACTATCCGACGGACCCTCCTCTCCAGGACCCCTGAATAGACCTTACCAGGGAGGCTTAAGAGTGTGACCCCTCTGTAATTGGAGTACACCCTCCGGTCCCCCTTTTTGAACAGTGGGACCACTAACCCAGTCTGCCAATCCAGAGGAACTGCCCCCGATGCCCATGCGATATTGCAGAGTCACGTGAGCCAACACAACCCTACAACATCCAGAGCCTTAAGGAACTCCGGGCGGATCTCATCCACCCCAGGGGACCTGCCACCGAGGAGCTTTTTGACCACCTCGGCGACCTTGTCCCTAGAGATTGGAGAGCCCGCCCAGAGTCCCCAGGTTCAGCTTCCTCAACAGAAGGCATGTTGGTGGGATTGAGGAGGTCTTCAAAGTATTCCACCCACCGGCCCACAATGTCCCGAGTTGAGGTCAGCAGCACACCATCCCCACTATAAACAATGTTGGTGCTGCACTGCTTCCCCCTCCTGAGACGCCGGATGGTGGACCAGAATCGCCTCGAAGCCGTGTGGAAGTCTTTCTCCATGGCCTCTCCAAACTCCTCCCACGCCCGAGTTTTTGCCTCAGCGACCACCCGAGCCGCATGCCGCTTCGCCCGCCGGTACCCATCAGCTGCTTCTGGAGTCCCACAGGCCAAAAAGGCCCGATAGAACTCCTTCTTCAGCTTGACAGCATCCCTCACCGAAGGTGTCCACCAACGGGTTCGAGGGTTGCCACCGTGACAGGCACCAGCAACCTTGCGGCCGCAGCTCCGATAAGCCGCCTCGGCAATGGAGGCACGTAACATTGTCCATTCAGACTCAATGTCCCCCACCTCCCCCGGAACGTGTTCGAAGTTCTGCCGGAGATGGGAGTTGAAGCTCCGTCTCACAGGGGACTCCACCAGACGTTCCCAGCAGACCCTCACTAAACGTTTGGGCCTGCCAGGTCTGACCGGCTTCCTCCCCCACCACCAGAGCCAACTCATCACCAGGTAGTGGTCAGTGGACAGCTCCGCACCTCTCTTCACCCGAGTGTCCAAGACATATGGCCGCAGATCCGATGAAACTATGACAAAATCGATCATCGAACTGCGGCCTAGGGTGTCCTGGTGCCAAGTGCACATATGGACACCCTTATGCCTGAACATGGTGTTCGTGATGGACAATCCGTGACGAGCACAGAAGTCCAACAACAGAACAGCACTCAAGTTCAGATCGGGGGGGCCGCTCCTCCCAACCACGCCCCTCCAGGTCTCACTGTCATTGCCCACGTAAGCGTTGAAGTCCCCCAGCAGAACAAGGGAGTCCCCAGGAGGGGACCCCCAGTACCTCCTCTAAGGACTCCAAGAAGGGTGGGTAATCTGAACTGCTGTTCGGCCCGTAAGCACAGACAACATTCAGAACCCATCCCCCCACCCGTAGGCGGAGGGAGGCTACCCTCTCGTTCACTGGGGTAAACTCCAACGTACAGGCGCCAAGATGGGGGGCAACAAGTTTTTAGTTACATTATAAAAATTCTGCTCCTGTTCGGATCTTATGGTCACATAAAGAATATCTCAACAAAATCTCACCTGAAAAGGAGAAAAACAGATTTTTTTTTGGATAATTTATCTGCTGTTTCTTGCCATGGAATTCAATCCAATTTTAGAAAAATCTACTTGAGATGTTCTGCCAGACAAATCTCCTCACACAGTGCTTTTTTTTTTTTTTTTAAATCAGCTTGAATTTCTTTATCTCCAACAAGCTAAAAAGTAGCTGAGGAATACTAGAAGTATTTTCCTCTTCACTTACCACCCTGAAACAGGAACTGAGAGGCGAATCTGCGGAAGAGAAGAAGGAAGCGCAGCTCGCCAGGCTCACCGCTGCTGTGGAAACTTCTGTGGATTTACTGCACTTTGGCTCCAGCTGCAGATGCAGACAGATGGGACCAGTGAAAGACAAACATGCTCAGATAAGCTCCACTCCACCAAAGCAAACATTTATGACATTTAGACATTTATGGAGGGGAAAAAAAGTTTAAATGGCACTGCTGATCCGACCTCCCAACTGTGGAAAAACTCCTCCAGAGTCTTCGCCTGAGATCCGTCACGCAAAGAGAAATCGTTGCCTGCGTCGTTATCGTTGGTCCCCAGCAGACCGGTGGATGTGCCTGAGCAGGGAAACGAGTCGAAGCAGAAAACGTTTCTTTACGTTTACCGTGGAAATCACATGTTTATGTACGGCTCATAAGTTTATGGACGCCGGTGGAATTTCTGAAGTTTTGGACGTTTTTCAGAGAATGTGACTGATAACGCAAAAACTATTTCCACTCATGCTCAGGGTTTTAATTGAGACATTTTTTGTCAAACAAATGGGCTTACTCTTTGTAAATCACAAAAAAACAAAAATAAAATAAAATAAAATAAATCATAAAAATTAATAAGCTAAAAACATTTTGACAAAAACTCTCAAAATCACCCTGATCAAAAGTTTACATACCCTGGTGATTTTTGCCTTTAATCAAGGTTATTATGATTTTTGTTGGACAATAAATGGCTTCAGCTAACCACAGACCATGAGTGAAAATATTTTTTTGTGTTCTCAGGCATATTTTATGAAAAATTGAATAAAAAAAGAAAAATCTGAAATTCCACCAGTGTATGTAAACTTATGAGCACAATGATACCCTGTCAAAAAAACATCTTACTGTCTGACATTAAATCAGACAAATTTCCATCTTTAAGTCTTAGAATTATTTATATCTATTTGCTAAATGTCAGAATAGAGGACATGTTTTTCTGTTTCTTTATGTAGAAGTTTTCATACACTAAGATTACATGTTTTTATTTTTTTATACAATTTATGAAAACCAGGATAATGATGTCATGGATTTATAGGCTTCTGATAGGTTAACTGACAAATCCACCTAAGCGGAGGCTCAGGTGGATTTTAACACCTCAAATACACTCATGTGACATCATGGGAAGAAAATCTAAAGAAATCAGCAAAGAGGTCATGAGGTCATGAAGAAAAACAATAACCTCTTTTAGTCGCCTTCATTTCTGGATTTTGATTTCCTGATGCTCATGAGCATGAGGTCACACCGTCCAGAAAGGAAACCGGTTCTGTGTCCCCAAATTTGACTCTTTGGTCATGAGATTCTCTCCTTGTCCTGGTGTTAAATAATGTCAGTAATAATAACTGATGTAAAGAGAAAATTTAATTTGTTATAATGTCACACTGTGAGTAAAAACTTGACTTTTTTAAAACAATAAATGTAAAAATCAGGTTTCGGCTCCTACCATGTAACCATCCATCCAGGGTGAAGCTGCACAGCTCCAGCTGCAGGTCACATGACACCGACTGTCCCTTCTGATTGGACACCTGTACTTTGTTTGAGCCTTTTTTCACAGTCAGCCCACGGCTACTGAGGGGTCCATGTGGGACGGCGTTCTTACAGTCAGCTTTCACCTGAGACACAGAGAGACTCTGTAACAGTCTGCATCATCATTCACTTACAGTGCCTATAAAAAGATTCACCCCCTTTGGGTGTTTTATACTATTTTTGCTTTTGCAAGTCAATCACCATCAACAAAATTTGGCTTTTTTTTTACAAAACAGAAAAACAATCTTTAATGTCGAAATGAAGAATAGTTTATATAAAACAATTAAAAAAATATTTAGCATAAAATAAGTGACTGCATAAATATTCACCCCATTTTAAAATGAATGACCTAATTTAACAGAGGTCTGGTCAATCAGTGCTAATAGTCTCATAATGACTGAGACTCCGTGAAGTGGATTTGATGAGACCGAAATGGAGCGTTAAGGCCGTCAGACAAGATTTTGTTTGGAACACAAACACACCATCCCTACTGTGGAGCATGGTGGTGGCAGCATCATGCTGTGGGGACACAAAATGAACTACAGCTTTTATTTTCCAGCAAGTCAACAACCATGGAGTGGCCTAGTCAAATCTATGATTGCATCCAAAGGTGTGTTTTACTAAATACTGACTGATAGGGGGTGAATATTTATACAATCACTTATTTCATGTTGAACTGGCAAGACATTTGAGAAGATGAATACTTTTCACCGGCAGTACACCAACCTGGCCGGTGTGCTGAATGTGGACGCTGCTGTTGTCCATGTGTATCAGCAGGGAGCTCTGAGCGTTGGCGCCTAGCAGCAGCGTGAAGGACGGCTCGGTGCGGACGTCCTGGGCGAGGAGCAGCGGACAGGAAACAGGAAGTTGATACAGAAGCCCGTCAAACGTCACCACAAACTGATCAGCCACCAGCAGCGCTTGGTCTTTAGGAACACAGGGAGGGGAGAGGCAAACACATTACAGGCGACCTGTGATGTTTCATTCAGCAGGTTAAGATAGTTCTATAACAAAACGTGTTCATTACATTTTTTTGCACAAATTCATTCTTAGATAATGAGATTTTAGTCTGCTCAGTTCTGTCTATTTTCATCTCCTTTCAGAATTACATGTTTTAGGGCTCTGTCACTTTAAATCCAAATAAACTGCTGCTGGCCACGCCCCCCAACTCAACGTTTACACACACACTTTAAAATGGCTGCAGTTACACAACCATACATCTATGAAAAGTAGAAGTGGAGCCTCCTGCACATCCAACAAGAATGCAGGAAGTGGTTTGCTAGATGGACAGTCAACAACAAAACACTTGTCTTTTCCAGTAGCCATTATGGAGCGCATACAGTGGTAAAACAGGCTGACCAAATGTGGAGGAGCTCTGCTGAGGTTGCTAAGTAACACACATTCTGGAGGTTTTTGAAATGGCTAATTTTCCAGACACCTAAAAACATTACTGCCCAAAATCGGCTGGTGTTTTGGCTCCTGCTCTTTACTTAAAGCCGGTGTATTCCAATTGTTTTATGGTTCTTTGTTTGCTGCTTTCTTTGGGAGAATTATGAAGAATGTAACCACAGAAACCGCTGCACAGTGAGGCGGCGACAGTTGCTTATTTTACATTTTTAATCCAATATTTGTCGCCATTTCTCCAGCGGAAGTGTCTCATTTAGATTTTCAAAACAAGAGCTCATTACTGGAAGCATGCAGTTTATATTGCTGGTAACTTGAGATTTAAATAATAGAATTGTAATCTGATTACCAACCTTGCTTACTTTAGTTAAGAAACAACTGGTGGTAGTTTAAGTTCATTCGTAGAAGTTGATTTATTCTTTTTTGTGTCTATTATTGTTCCTTTTAGTAAAGAACATTTATTTTAGTACAATAAGGTACTGAAGCAGATCAGCCTGACAGTTCCACACACACTCTGGGCGCCGTCAACAGGTGTTCTGGCAGGAACTGCAGTACGAATCAGTGACACCACCCTGAAATTAGTGTTTCCAGTGAGAACTGTGTTCTCTCCCCTTCACTTGGCTATGTTTGAAGAAAAACAAAACAAAACAAACTAATTTGATAACTGTTATAGATTCCAGCTTTGTAGAAAACAGGCCCCTGAGCCTGCAGAGATGTGTTTTATTGAATGTGAAGCGTTTCCATCAGCAGATGTGTTTTGTCAACAGAGAAAGGAGTCGACGTGTGATTTACAGCCCCTCCTCTCTTTCTGACCGGACAGGTTTGCCAACGCTGAACTCCACTGAGCCACGGTCCGAACATTCTGAAAGTCCAAAACACATGTTCCTGTAATGGCTTCAGCATGAACAAGAACGTTACAAGGAACTCAGAAATCTGTTTTGTCAGATAAAAACTTTGATGCGCAAACAAAGCGGAGAAACCGGAAATGCTTGCCTTTTAAATTGAGAGGACACAAATTACCTGTAAAAGTATTCAGAGCCAAGCCGGCTTCTTAAGCTGGGTCTGATTTTTAACAAAGTTTCTCCATTATGTGACTCTTCAACCACAACAGAGTGTTTACTGAAATGGTTCCAGTGAAACTAAAAGTCTTAAAACATCGTCTGTTACTGCAGCAGCTCAACAGGTACACGGATATTAAAATATGGTTTAAATAATTACAAATTTCTGATAATTACTGAGTCAGTAAGTAACATATCTAAGTAAATTCAGATAAGGTGTAGGATTAAATAAGAACACTTTGTTATGCACACATAAGGTGTTTATGTGTGCGTTTTTTCCCCCTTGTTTTTGAAGGCCTGTTTGAAATAAATAAATAAATCAAAAACTCTTCTCATGTTTCATGTAAACATAACTTTACAACAGGTTTGATATGAACACGTTGAATCTCAACCCTCGAGCAGCTTACGTCTGAACGGGCTGTCCATGAGTCTCCTCTTGAGGCGATAAAGCTCAGCTGCAGGTCTGACGGAGGTGAGGGCCCTCAGGGGCCCCAGGAGCCACTCCTCCAGTACTGTTTCCAGCAGCCCGCCCTTGGCGGCCCTCGACAGGTTGAGATTCAGCAGCGGCACCGACACAGCGACCACACAGTCTCTGCAAAGAAATGACCTCGTGAACCGTCCCCTGGATTAAAGTGGCCAACTTGTTGTCTTTATTTGGCCCAACATTTCAACCGACTGAGGTCAGCCAGGACTTATTCTGAGAGAAAAAGGAGGGATACATTCCACCTCTCACACGGTCACACAGCTTCATAAAATCAGGAGCCAACGAAGGTTTAAGGTGAGCCTGAGTTATGCAGTACCTGCGGCTGAATGTGTAGAGAGAAGCCAGTCGTTTCCTGAGTCCAGACAGAGCCGTGGCCAGTCTGGCCTCGGCCCAGTGGGAGCTCTGCTGGCCCGCCTGGACCAAACACTCAGTTACTACACAGTACTCATGGTGTTTACATGTTTTCATTGACTTTTAGGACAAACATTAAAGTAGTGCCATTTTATAGCACAAATAAGAACACCAATACTAATACATTTTAATTTTGTACAGAACACACCACTGAACTGCAAAAACACAAAATCTTACCAAGCATCTTTGGTCTAGTTTCTAGTCCAAATACACTTGAAANAAGACAAAACTAATTTAAAAGTAACTTGGTTGCTCTTGTTTTAAGTAAATAATTCCTTAATACTGATGAGAAAGTTCTCCATTGGCTGATTATTCAACTGATAAAACATTTTTCCATTTCTATAAGTCAATTTATCTACCAATGGAACTAGAATTTTCTCATCAATATTAAAGAGATATTTAGTTACAATAAGTGTCTATATGTTGCTACAAAGTTACTTTTAAGTTAGATTGTCTTATTTCAAGTGTATTAAGATATTTTCTTAGGCCAAAATGACTTGGTAAGATTTTGTGTTTTTGCAGGGTGGAACTGGAAGAAAATTTAAACATCCAAATTAAACCCAGCAACCAAAAACAATAACTAAAATAAAAATAATAATAATAAAAAAACACACACAGCCAAAACCATAAATAAAATGGATCATGATGCCTGGAAACAAAATTGTCCTCCTGAAAATATGAGAATGCAAACTATCAGGCTCATTTTAATTCAGATTAATTGATTGCTTCCTGCAACAACCCAAAAACACAAAGACATGGCCTGGCAATGAGGAAACCTTTAAACTCCAAACTTTAGGAGGCAAAAATGTTTCTGCTGTCAAACAGACAAAACTGACAGTGGAAAAAAACCAGAGGTTGCCGTTTCCTCACCACGTCCAGAGCAGCGGTGAGGGCCGAGGCTCCTGCTGCTGCCAGGGCTCTGAGGTGAGGGTTCTCCAGCTCAGCAGGCAGGACGTCCAGCAGCCTGCCGGTCCACATCCCAACAGCCTCCCTCCATGCTGCCTCCAGCCTCTGGCCCTTCACGTCCTGGTACACACCAGCCAGAGTCGCCAGAGGCCCTGGACAGTAAGTTCAGACACTGCGCTGATGACGTCTTCCTGGCAGTAAGAGGAAGAACTCCGACACTGGAGACACTCACTCCGCAGCTCCTGCTGTCCCTGCAGCGAGGCTTGCTGGAGCCGACCCAGCAGGTCAGGCAGGCTGCTGGTCAGCGCACGGCGCAGGGAGCTGCTGAGCCACAGGGACAGCAGCCCTGTGGAGTCCTGGCCCAGCAGGCCCTCGGCATGCTGGGAGGCGAGCAGAGGGACGGAGCTCCAGTCCTGCAGCAGCCGCATATCTGTAGGCTGGGGGACAGGAAGCACAGAGTTAATCGCCAACACCTGCAGGTCCAGCATGACGTTACCGGGGAAACATTAAAGCTGCACTATGTAACTTTTAGAAAAAATAATGTGTTTTATACATATTTGTTAAAGAGGCAGTATGATTTCAAGGCACATTGTACAATATTATAGCACAATTAAGTAACTATGCTACCTTTGAGAAATTGAGCCTCTGTCTCTTTAAAAGCTCTATTTCTTTTTACTTTATTTATTTTTATCTTTAACAAGGTTTTCACCAGCGCTGCGTTGAGAAGTAGCCCCTATAAAGAGTTCAGTAGATGTGCAGTTCCTCCAGGTATTTGCTACTTGTTATTAGCTAGTCTGAAGGAGCGGTATGGGGAGCCGCGGGGGATCTAGATAGCTTTAAAGCTAGAGCTCCGAGGAGGAGCTGCTTCTCAAAGGCGGAGTTAGGTCCACCCAGGGATTCTGAACTTATGAATGGTTGCCATGGAGATTCAAGGATTTCTCAAACACAAATGTAAGAATCAAAGCAATACTCTAGGTACGTTTTTGTTGAGGGAATAACATTACAATATAATGTAAAGATAAAAAAGGTTGATTTTACATAATTCTGTCCCTTTAGTATTATCACTATGTTTAAAAATAATCTCTGGATTCTCCCTGTAGTCATACGGCCAGCTTCAAAAATACATCACTTCCTGGTCAGAGACAACCAATCAGAGTCAGGAGGAGGGTCTTAGTGCTGTCAATCAAGCTTGTGTACGTGCTGCTCAGCCTTCCTCTTGCTCTCTGCTGCACCACAACTGATTCACCACAGCAAAACCTGCCGTGAATGCTAAGGCTAGTTACCATGGTCACCGATGACGGAGGATAAACAGTTTTCCTGGAACAGCAACTTGTTTCTCCACCATTAGCGCATTTAGCAGTGCTAAGGCCCTCCTCTTGGCTCTGATTGGTTGTTTTTGAGCGGTGCATTCCTGCTGGTGGTAGGACCAGAGGAAGAAGCCGGAGGAGCTTGATTCTTTCACAGATTGTCTATCTCATATTTCTCTGTCATGACCTGGGGACACTTTTAACTAATATGTAAAAAAAAAATACTTTTTTTTTTTTAAGTGACATAGTGCAGCTTTAAGGCAGCAGACCTGTTCAGTGGTTTCTGTTAGGAGACGCTGTAACGCCTTCGTCCTCTCCAGGAGTTCCTTCTGGATCTCAGAGCTCAGGAAGTGAAATCGCTCCTACGAAACGATGAAGAGGAGCAAACACAGTGAAGCAACTCCATACTGAGTCATATCTGAAGACGTTAGGGTTACCTCTATTGCAGTTAATCTCTCCCAGCAGCCACTAGCTGACATCATCAGCCTCTGATTGGCTGTCTTCAGCAACCAGCTTCCCAGAGTCTCAATCTCTCTGCAGCGTTCTCTTCTCTGTACCTCGGCCTTGAAGCTGTGGTTCAGTCCTGCACACACTGCTGCACTGATGTCCTCACAGAGGCCTGGACCTGCAAAACACACACATACACACACACACACGTTCATATTTACTCCTTTTAGTTTTCTGGACTCGGTTAGTGGTGATCCTCTGTTTACCGTTCATGTAGCCTGCGGCGGTCCGGAGGCAGCGGCCCCCCAGCGTCCCGTTGACCCAGACCTGATGTCTGCGGTCCAGTGTGGCGTGAACCTGGAGGCCGGCCCCATGGGGCCCTGACATGCTGCTGCTGCCTAGCAACAAGCTCCAGTTACCCACCACTGACTGGAAAGTAAAAAAAAAAAAAAACACCATTATAAGCAAAGAACAAAGAATAAAAATATCAGAATTGAGTTTTTAGTTTAACTTCACAAAGAAAAACATGCAGATTTTTACATTTTGCTTAATGATGTGAACAATTTAGGCGTGGAAAAAGATGCACAAAACAGCCAATGTGTAGAAGTACTTTATAATAGTTTAGGTAAAATGTGTTTAATTGTTCAGACGGGAGGCTGATCGGATCTGAGAACTCCGACTGTAAGAAACCGGGTCTGAATTCTGTACAACAGTTTCATTTTGTTTTCCTCCACTCCATCTGTGTGAATAACCTTTTATTTATTTATTTTTTTCATCAGTCAATGTTTCCTTAGACGTTCGGTTTTATTGGGGGAATTCCTGCGTTCTGGTTCCAAAGAGATGGCGAATCTCACAGATTTACAAGGTGACACAAACACTCTCCAGAACCGGTGGGAGGAGTTCTGCTGAGTATTAGCAGAACTCCTAATACTGGGAAGCTTGGCACAGCCTGGACACCAGCTCCAGTAGTTCATTTTTCAAAGCCTCATTTCTCAAAGTCATATTTTCACCACGACACGTCACCGTTTCAAACTAAATGTTTAGCCAACAAGCTAAATACGCTAAAGATTTAATTAGCAAGGTAAATATTTTGTTCACATACTAAATATTTAGCTATATGTCCAAACTAAATATTTATATAGCGATTCATTTACCTAGCAAGTTAAATATTTAGTTTACAAAATAAATGTTTACTTTGGAGCAAAACATTTAGCTTGACATAAAAATGGACAACCATTTTTATCTCTTATTGCTGCTGATTTTTGACAGTAACTTCAGAAACCACACTCCATACTCTGAAAGCATTTGGCTGCACAGGATTTTATTTAGGGCTGTCAGAGTAAAGGGAGCTGAATCTAATGGACACGATCCATTTTAGATTTTTTTGGAACCCATAAATCATTTACCAAGAAAATATTCAGCAGCATCTTTACCTCAGTGTAGAGAGAGATGTTGGTCCCCTGGGCGGTGGAGGAGTTGGTGAGGGCGAGCGTGAAATGGGACCGGAGCGGCTGACCGGTCACCGAAACGTTAGACTGACTGTAGATCAGCTCCTCTCCTGAGTTCACTCTGTGGAACCCGGACCACCAGAGAGTCTGACACACACACACCGGGTATGTGGACATCTTTAGATATTGCCGAATAGTTTTAGCAAGAGGATGACTTCCTCTTCCTCGTCTAGTTTGCATGGTTACCAGTATGAGGACTCACCGGCTGTTCGGGACAAACCCCCAGCTCCACTCTGTGCTCCAAGCGGTCCCTGAGGTTGGTCTGGACTTTGGCCAGAAGCATGTGTGAGTGACAGGGTGCAGGGGACACTCGGTCCAGATCCACGTACAGCTGGAGGCCGTGCAACCCCTCAGCACTTTTCTAGAGGAAACAAAAGAGGAACGGCTTCCGTTTAAAAGCATCCTAAACTTTAACGGTTTCCCCAGTAACGGAGAAGCAGATTAGTACCTGGTACGTCATGCCCTGTCTGAAACTCTTGTTGTGCCATGTCACATCTGCAGTCTGTGAATACAGGTTTCCGCGGTAACCCATCGATACGCAGCCCTTTCCAGAAGACAAGGCCGTCTGCAACAACAGACATGCACTTCATGCTCCTAAAAAGCTACATCCCCCCCCTGCCCTGACCTTTGACCCTGCAGAGATCCACAGACCCGCTTGGCTGAAAGCAGAACGCACGCCCGGCCCATGCTGGAGCTGAGTTTGTTCAGGGTGAGAGAAATGTTGACTGGAACGGAACCGTCCCAGGACAAATGGGTCTGCAGAACACACACACACACACACACACGCGCGCCCACACGCACGCACGCACACACACACGCACACACACACACACACACACACACACACAGGAACAGGTTTTTTAAAGGGATTGACTGGTTTGATTCAGTGCCGTGTGAAAGGAAACCACCGCAGGTGGAAATATAACAAACGTTGCAATTTTGGTCTCAATAGAACCTATTTTAATTTGCAGCATTTTTTAGATCAGAGAAAATTTGACTTTAATTCATTTTAAGCATATCGTCATTAACAGTCTGGTGAAATTAATGTTATTATTACATTTTAGACACAGAATGATTTCAAGGGCCACACTTTGGATACTCGTGGTTTAGAGTATCATGTCCAAATGGATGGAGTCTAATGTGGAGCTGGTAGTGTACCTCCAGTCTGCTGCTGCCCTTCCTGGGTGAGCGGAGTGACAGAGTGTGCAGAGACAACTGGCTCAGCGCCGAGCAGAAGGGATGTTTCAGCTCCAGCTTCGTCTCGTTTGTCTCCTCAGAGTGACTCCACGACCTGAGAATGCGCACCTGCACAAAAAAACATAATAAAAAAAAGACATTTAAACTCTTTATGACATTCTGTAAGAAAAAGAAGAAAAAGAAAATGAAGTTGAAACAATTCTCCACCTGTGCATCTGGACAGAAACTGGGAGAAAAATATAGGCTTTCCATATAGACACATTATTGCCTAAAAATATATGCTTTTTGTTTATTATTTTCCCTACAGGTGCATTCCAGATAAATAAGCTTCTGTCTAAAGGTGTGGGGGTTTTTTTTCACTGGGTTGGGACACTTTGCTCTTTCTCACCTGCTCCAGCTGTCCCTGCCTCTTCCAGCCCAGTGAGACGCTGTCCAGTCGGCTGTGGAAGGAGCTCTCATGCACCAACTCCAGACTGCTCAAACGGGGGAGGCCGCTGACCTGGACTGATGGGAAGGACAACAAAGACACTAACAATCTGTATCCAGCTGCGTCCCACTAGTGAAGCATGCAAAGACTATCTGTAGGCAGGTACGGTTAGGACAAGGATTAGGAACAGGACACTAAACAGAACAGAGACAAAGACTGATCGAGAAAAATACAGAGCAGTCCTTTGGGAGTACACGACAATTGTTCTTCTAGAGAACAATTTGACGTATTACTTCCAAGAAAGCACAAGAGCAAACATTTAGACAGCATCCAGCTTCAGCCAGACTGGAGATGAGAGAACCTCGGAGAAACTCCGCAGAGACATGGACGCGGGTGCCGACTCTCCACACCCAAACTGGAGAACGGAGGAGGGTGAGCCAAAAACAAGATGATTGTTTTCAGAAAGGCTCACAGAAGTCTGAGCTGCCAGTGGAGTGTGACCAGACAACAATGAAAAGCATCTGAATAGCAGTATTAATGGCTCACTTAGGAAAATACGCTAAAAAACCAACACTTTATGGAAGAGTGTCAGAATATTGTTGAAAGAAACCATAACAAAGTCTTCAATAGTCTTCAGAAAGGGAAACTCACATCATATATAGATGGGAAATATTTAAAGCCTTCATTTCTTTCTTGGTGATTATGGCTTACAGATAATAGAAAACCAAAATTCAGCATCTCAGAAAATACAAAAGTAAAAAAATAAATAAAAAATCGCAAACTAATGTTGTATGAGCAGCTAATTTACTCCTGAGCCTCCAAACAGTCTCTCACTATGGACCAGCAGGACAGACGTCCACAAGACAGTCAGACACATTTCACAAAAAAACTGTCAATTCTTGAAGAAGCCGGCCGTTTACAGAATTGTATCTCCAAGAATATTTATAGAAAGTTGAGTGGAAGAAAAAAGTGTAATTTCCTGTGACACTGAATTTTCGGGGCTTTTTTGCTATCTGCAAACCATAACTATCACAATTACAAGAAATAAAGGTTTAAAAAAATAATTTGTGTGTTGTCTATTTGATGTGAATTTCAGTTTCTGAAATGAGTGACAATTTTTTTTATTTTATTAAAATGTCTGCACTTGTACTCTCTCCATACACTGAAAGTAAGCTAAAAAAAAAAAGAAAAGAAAAGAAAAAAATCGAGGAGCAAACATTTTATAATCCAAAACAAATACCATCAAAGGTATTGACTCAGGAGGGCTGTATACAGATTGTATTGAAAATTCATGCATCACTAACAATCATTTAGTACATTTTGTTTGTTGATCATTAAAAATTCCAATATTTTGTGACATTTGCAGTTGTAGCTTCAGAAAAGCAAAAATAAAGTCTATGTTTACGGTGCACCGTGTGAGGTTATATAAAGTGTGTGTGTTGGTGTTTACCCTTCAGAGTGTGGTTGCCCGGCTCCGAGTCCGGACCCGGAGCAGACGAGTGCAGAGCAGACAGGCTGAACTGGTGGCTGCCCCACACGGTGGCCTGCTGGATCTGGTGGCGCCACCTTCTGGCCTCATACAGCGTTCTAACTGCGACTGTCCTGGGAACAGTCTGCAGCTAACACACAAACACACATACATGTTCTGTAGGAGAAGCTAATCAATATAATTCAAATAATTTTTCTTGATGATGGGCAAACTTATAAACTTATAGGACAATGCAATCTGAAGATGGAAAGATTTCCACAGAATGAACTGACAGTTTATCTGAGTGGTACCTGAGGGAAGGAGTGTCTGACCTCCGCAGTCTGCCTGTAGCCATCCTCCATGGCCGCCAGCTCCCCCAGAGCCCACAGCTTCCTCCTGCCTGACAACACCTCCACCAGCGCTGCCACGTTGGACCGGGACTGGTTCAACTGGGACGGGAATGAGAATTTTAAGAGGCAGGCAACTCTACTTCAAATGTAAAGATATGGAAGTGGGACCCTCCGCCTGGCTGAAAAGGAGTTCACCCACCTGAGAACGGAGGTGGAGCTGGGGGGGCAGGTATGGCAGCAGCTGGGGGGCGCTGTGGACCACCTTCACCATCAGCTCCTTGCTAGACATCACAACAAAGGTCAGCTATGGGTATTCTTATTATTAGTATTTCACATTACATTTAGATCACCTGACATTTTTTCTAGTTTTTTGTTTGTTTGTTTAAATTTGAATGCATTGGCCTCCAGTTCATAGAAATGCGTTTCCTTTAATTTGGGATGTGCTGGTACACGAGTAATTTAGTCAAAAAAGTGTTGACTTTATTCTAAACAGATGACATCAACAGGTGGTTGTGATCAAGATTTGGCAGAAAGCTGTGTCCTTGAAAAAGTGAGTGGAAGGGAGCAAAGATCCTCCTTTTGTCTACAGCAGTTGGAATATATCTTTAGAAATATACTGAGTGATATGCGTGTGCCTTTAGGACTGTCACTGCTATTTATTGTTGTATGTTTATTACTATTATTTACTTATTTTTAATTTTTGTTGTGTGCTATGCTGGGAAAAACAAGACCCCCACCCCCACACTTCAGGGATCAATAAAATATTATCTCATCCTATATAATTAAAGTCAGATCCATCACAGTGCCTATGGGCTTTGCCGGGTCAGGGTGGATTTTTTTAAGCCTAATCTAAATTCTAATTTTAGGCCATTTTTTGAAAAATAAAAAATGGCCTAAGGAAAAAAGTATTTTGTTTTTTATTTACAGTTTTTAAAGAGAAATCAGCTGGTGATTGAAAATCAGCTATAAAATCTTTGAGCAGTATCAGCACCTGGGAGTGGAGGTGTGTCCTTGGACAATGAGTGCGAATGAAGAGCTGAGCTCAGGGTTGACGGCCATGGAGCCCCTCAGCAGGGACTCCGTCAGTCTCCCCCAGCCCTCCACCTGAAACCAGTCAGAGGACGTTAGTAGGGAGGAGCAGCGCTGTGGGAACTTCCTTCTACATGCTGACCTCATTACACCTGGAAGGCAGGGCTAGCTTCTCCTCGCTCAGTGTGCCTCAGTGTGAACCGGGCCTCCTTGGTACCGCCACGCGTTCCCCAGCCCCCGGCCTCCCCTGCCAGCCGGAACCTCCAGTTCTGGCGGTGAAAGTCTAATGATGCGCTTCTTAAAGGACCTGAAGACGGTTGCAAAACACAACGTTAGTTAGTGCAATGCATCTTGGGATTTTTTTCTGGCACTGAATTTATGAAAATGAAAATACAGATTATTAATGGTCTTTGTGTTTTTTTGCTTGGAAAGAGTAGTCAAAATTAGCGATACAAATGAAAGGACAACAGTGACATCTGCTGGTCAAACTGTATTATTGCATTTTGCAGGTAGAGACAATAAAGCAAGAAAATTGCAGAAGTTTAAATTATTAGTGTATAAAAGAAAAGGATAAATTAATACCTTAAAACAAAGAGGGTCAAAATCATTTTCATTTCAGATCACATCAAGATGAAACTCAGAAAATTTCCAAAAGCTGAACATTTTCGATTTTTAAAACTCAGAAATTTCCATGTTTTTTTTCTCGAAACTTCCTGAGATTATTCTAAAAATTTCTGAGATTTTTGGCTGAAATGTACTCCTTTTTTAAATCTATGATGGCTCTAATATGCTGTCGTACAAAACTTCTGAGCACAGAAAATGTTTTTCTGTGGTGCAAATATATATATTACTACGCTGTGACCCAATCAGTCAACATGCCAAACATTTCCTGAGATGCAGGCCGGGGGTACAGGACAAAGGGAGTGAGCAAATTTCCTGAGGTGACCTATGACCCTGTGAGAGCTGGCTCCAGTTCTGGTTAATAATACTTTTGGTTGCCTGCATCCTTTTCCCTCAGAGAAAACATAAATGAAACTAATTTTTAAACCTAGTCAAATTTGAAGAAGTGAAATGACACGATGTCTTGACCTTTGAACTGTACAGTTAGGACAGCGTCCAGCTTGTGTTGTGTCCGTGTTTGATTGAGAGCAGCAGGAGAGAATGAGAGGAGCCCAGCCAGGCGACCGGCAGCTCTGCTGACATTCAGCCCAGACGTGAGCAGCTTGCATCCGTCCACACTGAGCTCAGCCCTGGACTGGAGCTCAGACAACGCTCCCTTCATGGAGCAAAGGCCCTGGGAGAGAAAACACAAATACATTTTCAGACCAACACGTCTGCTGCTTATCACTATTAATAATAATTGGCAATAAAAGCATGTCAACGCAAAGCGTACCGATATTCTCAGGGGCAGGCCTCGGCGGTGAAGCCATGACGAACCGTGCCACAGGGTTCCCCTCACTTCTTTGAGTTCAGGAATCGTCTTCAGCTGCAGTCTGAGTCCTGACTGCTGAGCTCCACACTGAGACTCCAGGCTTAGGATCCGACCTTCAGCAGAACCAAGTTCTACCTGAAACACACAACCTGAGCTCAGCGACCCTGCTTCCAGAGCCAACCCATTGTTTTTTGTTTTTTTTTACGGTGTGAAAACCAAGCCAACCTGTACGCTGTTGCTTCCAGGGACTCCCAGCTTGTCCAAATAATTCACCGCATGTTTTAGCTCACTCTTCACCCTCATGATCTCAGATGTCTTTTCCATTTTAAGCTCTTGAGAAAACTGGGAAAAAAAAAAAAACTACATGTAGACTCACAGCAAAAAGAAATTACACCCATTTCAAGTCTGGGTTTGGTTAACTGAAGGAACATGTTACCTCAGAGCAGTGGTTCCCAAACTTTTTCTTCTGCGCCCCCCAGTGGTTTCCAAACATTTTCTGCACCCCCCTGCAATGACATGGCGCCCCCTCTAGGGGGCGCGCCCCACAGTTTGGGAACCTCTGCCTCAGAGTTTATCTGATTGCTGTTCTTACCCGCTGATTTTCTGCTCTGCCGTTGGCCGTAAAAGAGCGTGAACCATTGTTGTGACTCTCAAAGTTTACTGCCAGGGATAAATTCACAGGCAGGCCCAGTTTCTTCAGCAGGGGCACGGAATGGTTCAGATGTAGAAATACTTCCCTGTGAACCTGCAGAAGAAGAAACACACAATAAGACGTACATCTTTGTGTCAAACGAGTCGATTTGAAACGTCAGTTCGGTTCTGTTTTCAAACCTCTGCTTGTTCTGCAGACAGCTCGGTGTGTAACTCTTTGCCATCTACCACCATGAAGATGTGGGAAGAAACAGAAGCTGGTGAGATCAGCAGAGAGCCTGAAGCCTGCATGATGTTTGGACTGAACCACTCCTTTAGAAGCAGGAAAACATCAGTTAATGAAGTGATCATGCTGAAGTGATGCGTTCTGTGTAAAGAACCTATTGTATGTTACCCGTACTTGAATTATAGAGCAGTTATTGTGGTATAGCAGTGACACCTGCAGGCCAGGGTGTGACATTACATCTCCTCGAGTTCTGAGGCGGCATTCCTCCGTCTGAACAAGAACTTCTGCAGCATGTAATCCAGAGATGCTGAATCTCAGTGTACTGCTGTTAGACAGGACGGTGAGGGGGGGACTGTCATGGTTCAACACGCCCTCCACTCTCAGCTCTGGCCCGGGTTCAGCCTCCAGCCTGAGGAACGCTCCCCTGCCTTTCAGATCAGTCTCCATCACAGCCGTCCACACACCTCCAGGCTGTTCCCTCACTGAGCCGTTCACATGAACCTGTTGGGTCACACATTCAGCTGTCACTGTGACCCAAACTGGTGCTGAACTACACATGTTAAACTCAGGATATATGGATTTCTTACAGCAGGGGTGTCCAAACTGTTTGTTTCATGGGCCAAACTTGTCAATTCAAGAGAACTAACATGCCAAAAAAGAAAACATCTTATAAAAAACTAAAATTGAAATTCTGCCCTCAAGAAGTCATTGTGCTGCTTCTCTTTTAACCCTTTAACAAAGTTTTTACCAGCATTTCACTTAGAAAGAGCTCATACAATAAGCTCAGCAGTTGCCCAGATCAATCAGGTGTTTGCTAATTGCTTCTGACTAGTCTGAAGGAGCTGAGTGGGGAAGTCACAGAGGAGGGCTCTGTGAGGCAGAAGTTTGTTGGCTACAGCTCTGAGGAGGAGCTTTGTCTGAAAGGTGGAGCTAAGTCCAACCAGGCTATTTGCAGAGCTGAATGGTTACCATGGGAGATTCAAGAATTTCTCAAACATGCATGAAAGAATCAAAGCAACACTCCATGTATGTTTTTGATGAGGGAATAACATTATAAGATGACATAAAGCTCAAAAAAGTCAATTTCACATAACACTGCTCCTTTAAAAGATGAACACTTTTTGTTTCATCTAACATTTTGCGACAAGATTTTAATTTGTGGGTCATAAGTTTGTTCTAATTAAAAAAAAAATCTCCATCTGCTACAATCACCTGCAATGGGGGGAGAGTAATGATTCAGAGAAATAACTAAACCATTCCAGGGGCTGCAAGTGGCCCGCCCACCCTTGGGACACCCCTGCCTTATAGATTCCTCTCTTCTCCAGTCTTTGCCTTTAGCTGTTCATATAAACATGAGAGAGTAAAAATGAAACGTCCAGCTGGATGAAATGTGGAACAAAGCTGTACCTGTAACCCGGGGCAGTCTGTCTCCCAGGCCCAAAGCCGGCGTCCCGTTCCTCTGTCCTGAGCGATTCTCCTGGCTCTAATCCTACATGTTCCAACATCAATAGCCACGGCCCCAGCCTGGTCCGAACCCTCCGGAGCCAAAGCCTCCACGCTGACCGTCTGAGGCAGACCTCGGCTCTTTAGCCCAGAGAACGACTGATTGATGCTCCCAAAGAGATATGGAGTCACACAAGACCGACTCAGCTCTAAAGACGCATCCTCATCGTCCAGCCTTAGAGAGGACGACACGGTCAGCTGGCAGGGAGCCACCGACAGGAGGCCCCAAAGGGCCAGAGTCTGAGGGAGGACCCACCCCTACGATACAAACAGTGAGAGAAGCATCATGCTGTGGGCTGTTAGAGGCCGTCTGTCTGCTGATAGCTTTGTACACTTGTAAGATTGGGAGGGGGGGGATTAGTTATTTGCTAAAAGCTGCTGAACAAAAGTTTAGCAATCAGAAGGAATAGTTTAACTGAGAGGAAATATGATGATGAGTGACTGTCATGAAGGATCAAAACTTGCATAGTTAAAAAATACAAGCAAAGATATATAAATGGCTCAATAAATAAAGGTAATGCTTAAACACTTAAAATATGTCAAATTATTTTTAGAAATAACTTTACCTTGTGTTTTAGAACTTAATTGACTTTCATTTTTTTCATGTATGCACCAACAAATTAGATATTTTTAAGTACATAATACAAATTTTACTGACAAAACTTTTCAACCTTTGACACTCTGAACATTTCTAAAACTCAAAAGTTTGACTTTTGAAATTCAGAAATGTCCAAAAAAAAATTCCAGAAAATTTCTGAGATTAATCTCAAATTTTCAGTTTTTCTAGCAAATTTTAAACTTATAAAACTCAGAAACGTCCTTGTTTTTTTTTTCTAGAATGTGTCAGAGATTAACTTTTTTGGCAGAAATTTACTTTTTTTCCTTCATCTCCAACGGCTCTAATACAGCGCCGTAAATACATATCAACAGTTAAATGAAAACATTTGTCATTTAATTTGTAGCTTGTCTTCCTTATTTTAAGAGAAAATATTTCATCGATAACTGTAATGTATTAACAGCGATTTGTTTCGTCCATGCTGTTACCTGAAGCAGAGGACAGTGGCTGCTCACGTTCACAGTGAGCGACTGGACGCCGTCTGCTGCTGCCTGCGGAGCGGTGGAGTCACCCACGCTCCCCCTGAGGTAGCACTGTCCCACCTCCAGGCTGGCATCCACCTGAGGCAGAAGTCCACCTGACACATTCAGAGGTAGCGCTCCGCTGGTGGGAAATCTGAGCGTTTTCACCGCACTGATGAAGTGCAGAACAGACGCACGCAGACTGCGATGAGGACTGCAGGTTACAGACAGACTGACGGAACCTTTCTGCTCCCCTCCAGCCTGGAGAACGGCTCTGAGCTTTGTGTCACATCCTGAATGGGAGACGGAGATGTTGGCTGAGGCCTGTGGACCAATGAGAGTCTGCAGGAGGAAAAGGAAATGACTTAATAATGGGCATCAGTACTATAAGAATTTAGACACAACGAGTTACTATTTTGAGGGAAAAGGACAAATAAAGAACATGCGCAGACACTACATTAGCAGACTAATAGAAAAAGTTTTTTCCTGTGAGTTTCTTAAATTCAATTCCCTGTACAAATTTAAACTGCTGGAGTAACCATCGTCCATGTCTGCTTAAATGCTGAAAGTCCCTGTCAGAGTTTTATACCCACTTCTCGTCAGCATGAATGCTGTATAAATTTTATGCTTTTTAATCATGTGTTTCTTTCTTCAAGGTTGAAGAATGATACAACAAAAACTTTACAGTAAGAATGAGGTGAAGAAGTTGGAATTTACTGTGGATTTTCTTTAATCCACACAAGAGCAGATTTTTAAATACAGCTCTACTTAAACACAGCTAAGTCTGAAACTGTCCACACTCATGGCAGATTCAAGGTTAAAGTTCATTTTACCAACAAATTTATTTTGACTGGAAGTGATGCTAATGTCTCGGAGTATATGTATTTATATTTTAAAATGTTTTACTTCACCTCATAGCCCTATTTGACATCTTAAAATTGCCCTCTGTCCCTTTAAGAATCTCCCACCCTTTCTAACACTCGTCCCTTTCAGCATGTCATCACACCAATGTTTCTCCATGATGTTCTTAGGAGCTCAGCAGCTCAGGAGCCTGATAAGTGGATGTAAACCTCTGACCTGCTGTAAGCTGCTACGACCACGACTGTGGGCTACTTTAAGGTCCACGTTATTAAACAGGAAACAGGCAACGCAGCATCGTTTCCGTTATCCATAACATAACGTAAAGGTCAGAAAGGCTGGAATCATCTTTCAGGGAAGATGGTTTCTTTGCTCTTTCTCTGAAGGGAAACAAGTTCTCTGGTCCCTTGTTTCCTCGCTAACCTTCAGAAGGAAACATCTCTGATGGGCAAAAAGCGTCCACTTGCTCTCCTTTTCTTCTTCCTGGCGTCTGTTTGCCAAGAGAAGCAGTTGGCACGCATCACTCTCCATCTTGACCTGGGCTTGACTCGGTGTGGCAGACGCGGTCATGGTGAGGAGCCATTGTGGCTTTATCTTCTGCAGAAAGCTAGCTGAGAAAGACGTGAAGAGCTTCCAAACGGCGGTGGAGTTAATCTGTGCAGATCCGTCGCTGATGAGCAATTTTGCTCTTCCAGAGAAGGAAGAATGGTGGAGCTTACCCGATCCTTGGAAATCCACTTTGTTTGGGATGAGAGTGGCACTGAGGTTCCATCCTACCTCAACTTTGTGCTCCTTCGCTAGCATAAACAGAAACAATTTAAGAAAACCTTGCTGGTCCTCATAGCTCAGGAATCCCTTAAGACCATTGCTCCCTGTTTCTCCATGAAAGACTAAAGACGTTTTGTTTTGTAAGGGACCCAGAATATTCCCAACCTGCACCCAGACCGCTCTCCCCACCTCTGTGCATCGTACAGCAGCTAACAGGTAGGAAGTAGTAAAGTTCCAGGAAACACTCACTTCTGCTCTAGCGTCACAAAATCGTTTCATCTTCACATGGCCCGTCACTGCAGCTTTTTGTGTATCACTATGAGTTCCATATTGAAGCAGTCCATGCCAAGCATACAGCCTGAGAGACTCCACCCTGAGTCCCGCTCTTAGATCTGCTCTCCAAGGGCCAGCCACCATCCCAGTCCCCAGAACCCACCTCTGGGAGCCAGGCCGAAGGAGGAGCCTAACGCCAGATTTGCTGGGCAGCCCTAAATATGTCAGGAAGCTCACAGAAGAATGATTCAGGTTGGCTTTAAGTTCCTTCTGACCACTGGAACGGTAGCAACCTTTGGCTTGGAGCCATAAGCTAACATGAATAAGCGACAGGCCATAGCAGAGGCCACGGTGCGGTCTGTCAGAGCGAACAGCTCGTACCTCCACGGGCCGGTTTGCCACATTTCCAAAGCAGTGGGCTGAGAGTCGGTCTTCAGTGGAGACTCCTGTGCAGTTCATCTGCGAAAACAAAAAAATCCTTTTGGTAAAATTTGCACCTGAGAGAGATGGTCGAGTTTACATGCTCAGCACTGAGGCAGCCAGAGATCACCTTTCTGGAAGGTTTGCACTGTTTGCAGTTTTCTGGCCGATCGCCGAATACACATCTTTAAGAAACCTGACGTGGTAAATCCAACTTTGGTCAAAACCGATTTGTGTTTGTTGTCACTGATTTGATCAAATCAAAATGAAGGTATGGGTCGGCTCATACCCACCCATACCTTCCTTTAACTTGACTTAAACAGGAAGAAGCCAAGGCTATTATTATCGTTTTCCTCGTCTCCCGGATGTTCAACTACTTCCATGTCTTCTTTAACCTCAGTTTTTTTGTTTTCTTCTTCTTTATCTTTGGCAATTAAAGTGTCATTCTCATTAATTATTATGGTTTCTTCAACTTGGAAAAACAATCGCAGTTGCTCAATTCAATACCCCCATCCCTTCTTCTGGCATTTGTCAAGGTACCTCACGTCATTATTACAAAAAAAATTCCATGAAATTCACATGTGACCACATGAGAACCACATGGGTTCACATGTGGTCACACATCAGCACATGTGTGTCCACACATGTGGTCAGCGCATGTGTGACCAGGCGCAAAGGATTGACCAGGCTGCCATTTGCAAAGCAGCCAATCCCGGAGCACTATTTACTTCACCTGCTGCTGATTGACTGTACTCTGAAGAGAGACGATACAGAAGACTGTAGCTACTAGCTATTAGCTTCTGTGTTAATGCTAAGACAGTTTCCCCTATGTGTATTGTTAAGGTGAATATATGCACAATTTGGAGGTGTGCGTGTGTTTTACAATCTTGAAGTTCTATTCAAGGGGGAAGACAGTGCATACCAATGTCTTTGTATGCAAAGCATCTGAGTACGACATTTCTTTTACTGAAGGGGAGAATTTTGCATATGAATCATTTTTGTTGCAGGCAGGGCTGTGACAGGATCCTTTGGAGATTGCATTCCATCTACTTTCTGGCATGCCTCTTAATTTCATGGTGTTGTCGAAGTGCTATGTGAAGGAAGGCTCTGTCATTATAACAAAAAAATAATAATTTCCAGGCCAAAGAAAACATTTTTTAAAGGAATCGTTAATATATATCTAAATAATGTAAAATGCACCTGTAAAGAATTGGGGATGTGACCCTGGAATAGCTTCATGTGTTGCCACAGCATCAAGACCAAAGCAGACGTCTTATTTTTTGACCCCACACTAAAAAACATCTCTGCCGTTCTCTCATCTTCCACGCTAAGAGCCAGACTTATGTCAAATCCTCCCGTTTCTAACTGAGGAGAAAAAAAACATAACAGACATGTTACCATGGGTATAAACATCCTGAGAGAGATGATTTCTTAATGCATTCTGGTTAAAATAATTTCAAAGACAAAGTATACAGCCGTCCTGCACCTGGTGCTGTGCTCTGGCTTGGAATGAGTCTGGCAGGCCTCTTGTTTGCAGGGCTTCGACTTGATGCTGGAACCTGGAGAAGTAGCTCCACTGCTGGTCTGTCCTATCTCTGAGGAACTCAGCTCTGACATGCTCAGCTCCAGCCTGCAGCTCTAATAGGACAGACAGTCCAACCTCGTCCTGGGTCCACTTCACCTTAGCACTGCTGTCACCAGGAACGCCTGCAACCACAACCTCAGTTAGTTAACAGATATATAAATGCATGTGTTTATGTACTGAGTTATGATTAGAGATGCAATGAGCTAATCAGTTCCTCCAGGATTTTGCTGTTGTGTTTATTTGCAATCAAAATAATTGATTTTGTGTTGCTACTTTAAAAATATTTTCTTTAAAGAACTAAAATAACTCAATTTTTGTTATCTGCTACATGGATAAGGCTATAACTTGACATCAAGTAAGACTGAGGCTGCAGTGTAGAATAAGTAGGAAATACTGCCACCTGCAGGTAGGAGTTAGAAGTCACTTAACCCCAACGTGTTTAACCTTTTTTGTGGAAAATTTTCAACTCACGATTATGCAGCACAGCAGTGTAAGAAAATCCAGGAATTTTTCTGTGGATTTTGCATGAATTTTTGCAATCAAGGAATTGCAAAAATCTGGAGGAACTGGCTAATGATCGTAATGGGAAGATTTCAAACTCCCTGAATGATAACTTGAACAATTATTGGAACCAATTACTGGAGCCGAAAGAAACTTTTCAAAAGAAAACTGCTTTTTCTGCAAAATGCAGAGACGTGTTTGCAGTTTATTCAGGCTCTGAGAGAGTGGAAGGTTATCAGGAGACAACAGGAAGGCTAAATGTTTGGACTTTGCAGCCAGGTTGATCTGTTTTATTGTATATTTTGGGAGTCTCAGAGGCTCTGCGTTCTCCGGGGAATTTTAAAATAAAAACCCTGATTTACAGAAACAGCTCTTACAGAAACAGCATGATCTCTTTATAATAAACAATATTTTAAAAACTTCTCTTCTATTCTGGACATTCTTATATTACAGTTCTTAAAGAAAATCTATAGAGCTCACCTGTGGTGTTGAGTCGATGGAAAGAGTGAGAAAGCTGAAGAGAGAGCTGTCCGTTTCCCCGGTTCTCCAGGTGGCGGCTGACGTTAGCACACATGTTCTGGAGTCCGGACCGAACACAGAGCTGGGCCTGTGTCCGCTCGTAATCACCTCCCATCATTCCTTCTCCTTTGACCAGACCTTCTGCAGCATCCAGCTGATGTCTCAGCTCTATGCTGTGTACAGCTTCCATCACATTAACCATCAGGTGGCCTGCAGCAACATGCACACAGAGCTAAAACTACCGGGATTTGTGGTAGGGGAGCGGAGGGGGGGAGGGTTCTCTAGTAAAACTGGCACCAATCAGGTAGCATACCATGACAAAAATCAGTTTCATTCTACTGTATACAGTTCTGTTCAGAATTGTTTGTGCCCTTTGAACTTTCTGTCTCATTTTACACTCCAACCACAAACTTCTACGTATTTTATTTGAAAATTTAACTGATACCCCTTAAAGGGTCGACATAACCAATTTTCCATTTTATAGCAAAATCAAGTTACCATGTTGCCTTTACTTGTTATAAAAATGCTGCATATGTCAAACATGACTTGAAAGACAATTAAACTTCCCAATTTGACACCTTGAAATTAGGCCTCTTTCTCTTTAAGACAAACACTACACCATCACAACAGTATTTCTCATTATGATGCTTATAGCCGTTCTTAGGAGCTTTGGCCTGAGAAGTAGCTCCTATAATGTGCTCAGCAATTGCACTCCTACCAGATGTTTGCTAATTGCTGTTGGCTAGTCTGGAGGAGTGAGAGGAGGTGCGAGGGGAGGAGCTTTGAGGAAATGGGCGGACTTTGTTGGAGCAAGAGTTTAGGAACTCCGCATGGTGGACATGGGAGACTCAAGGATTTTTCAAACATGCATAAAAGAATAAAGGCAACATTGCACTTATGTTTTTGATGAGGGAATAACATTAAAACATCATGTAAAACTCAAAAGAGTGGATTTTACATAATACTTTAATTAAATCAAAGGAGCCAATTCCTGAAATTGTTTTGCTTCCTCTTTACACTGCTTTGTGTTGCTCTGCTGGATAACATTATCTTATGGTTTGTGTTTTATGATGACAATATGTGGAAGTGTTAACAGGGCGTGAATACTTTTCCAATGATGAAAATGAAATGAAAAGCTGTACCTTCTGTTAAAGTATCAGAGCGCTCTAACACTCCATCCAGACCCAGGACTGAGGGCAGAGCCTCCAATATGGACATGGAATGGTGAACATTCCCCAACAAAGCCAGCCGGAGAACCTGGGAGTTTATCCGTGACCCTTTGACCTGGACCAGCAGCGCTTCCTGTCCCTGTGTCACGGAGCCATGCAGAGACACGCTGGAGGAGGACAAATAGGCGAGGAAATAAAAACTACTACAGATCTACGAAACATTTCCTCAGACACACAGACAATGGCAAACCAACCTGTCTGCTGACACGTTGGCTGCCATGTTCAGCTGCAGGGCGCTGACCGACGGAAGGAGGTTCTGGGAGAGATCCAGGTCCAGTCTCACCGCTCTTTCTGGATTCCGGAGCCGGTGAAACATCTGACCGGTCACAGTCACCCTGTTCTTCCCATTCGCTCTCACACACAATGAACTGCTCCCTTTGCCAAACTCTGAGGCGTCTACAGCAGCTTTCACCTGGATAATGCACGCAGTTTGACTGGAAAATGAGAAAATGTAACGACAACAGCAAATATTTTGATGCTTTCACAGTGCACACCTCTAGCGCTTTGGGAATTTTCGACTTGAAGGGATGAGCGAGAGAGGAACAGAGGCCGACTCTTCCAGCTGTTCCGTTTAGCTGCACTGAGAGCTGCAAAACCAACATGGCCGCCTGGTGCTGGATGTTTAGCAAGCATTGATCTGAATGCATGCTATGTCTTTAACACTCACTGTGCACTCCTGTCTCTCTAGTCTCAGCTTTCCTCTGGCCTGGTAGTCAAAGTCAGTGCTGTGTTTAGGGATCCAGTGTAAGTGTCCCTCCATCAGAGCAGAGGAGGGCAGCTGCAGCTGGAACAGAAATGCCTGAATGAAGGTCTGATCCACTCATATGTGCATTAACATTGGTATCAACATTAAAATGTTGGTAAATATTTTTTTAACATATCATTATTGGTCCGATAACAACCAATGTTCATGTCCATCTCGTTGCCATTTGTGTTTCAGGGGTTTGGTTTTTGCTTGGTCATGTGACGGTGATGCAGTGCAGGATTGTGAAGTAGAGAAGCAACGTCAGTGGTGTGGTCGCGTTTTTGATTTAAATTTTTTTATATAGCAGCAAATCACAGCAAAGGCACTCTACAAAAAAATTATTCGGATTCAATCACACATACATTCCAATTGATCCTAGTTGTCCAACAGTGCTGTATGCTCAATTAATTATTAGAAATGTTTTTCCTTAGATAAAAAGTTTCTAAGGAAACCCAGCAGATTGCATCAAGTCATTGACTTGCAGCATTTATTCCTCTTGTATGATATTGTTAATTGGTGGTTATTGAGTATAACTATAATATTAATATCGGATATCGATAACGGCACAAAATTTTATATCGGTGCATCCCCAATTTCAGATATAACTTATATTATCTTTAGTTAGTTTAACAACAACTAGTAGAATCTGATAAATGGTTAATATTATATTATATTTTGACTACAAAACATTGACATAGAAAAAAGCCTCTTTTTCAGTCCTGAGTTTTACTTGTAATAAATAATAATAATGTAATGAAGGATTTTTCTTTAGAACTGCAGTATACAACTTTTATTTAAAAAAAATCTTTATTTTTCACATATCTGTTGAAGCTGTCAATATGTTGTATCAGTATTTGATAATCTGGAAAATATATATATCAGCAGAAGACCCTCAAATAGTTGATCTGAAATTGGGGAGTTTATTGCTTTTGAACGTTTAAACATGTTTTCAATAAAATAATTTCAATAACAAACCTAAAAAAAAAAAAAAAATGTTCTTCAGTATTCAATGTAACATCGTAGAACAGAAAGAGGGTGGAGGCTGAGGGTGGAGGGACTGACCTGTAGCTCATGGGTGAAGTTTGCTTTAATTGTTATTGTCTGTTGATTTGAATTGGAGGGGCTCTGCTGAATCTGCCCACAGAGGCTGAGTTTGTTCTCCCGGTTAACCTGCAGTGTCCCTCGTAGATCTCTGTGTGTCTGAGGAAAAGCATCAGAATGAGACATTATGCTCTAGAATAATCTGTTTTATATTATCCATTTAACTCAGATTTGATTGGTTAATTCTATACTTCAACATCTTTAAACATACTGCATTGTCAGTCATACATATATATATATATATATATATATATATATATATATATATATATATATAT